GGAACCAAATTACTCTCAGTCATGTACACGTTGGACATCATTCCACAGTCCGCTAACTCACGGTATATTTATAATTACATGTCGGGTACATATGTGACCAGAGGCTATTGCATGGTATGCCGTTCTCACGTGCACTCACACATGCATTTCATAGGGATATTGATATTTTACAAAACATTATTTTCACAGAGTAAGTAGACTACATTTGTAAAAACGATTTAATCGACAGAGCGAAACTTGCTCAACAGCGAAAATCGTAAAGACCTCGAGCTTATGAACTCATGTAAGCCCGTGCTATGCACATGTGAGGTCGGTACGTCCGCATTCCATGTGTTTCCTATATGACCTTCTTGAGGTCGTCTGGTCTCATGTCACTGTCTTCCCGTGAGTCTGTTTATGTCTATGAATTGGGAAGCTTTATTCCTGAAGTACGTGTGATTATACATTTCCCGGTAAAATCTCGATACCGGGTGTTGACATATCATCGGCACGCACGTGTACTATTGTTTACCGGTGTTACTATAATTTGCACTACTATATTGTATGCCCGATACGCAATACGGAAATAACGACACGGTGTACATGCACATTTCGATCAAGATAATTGAGGCCGAGCTGTACTTTTTCCGGAAGTACGTCACGAAAATGGACGCAGATGACGATGTGTGGAGCCACCTTAAGAGGACGTAAAATACAAACACACCGAAACCAAACTTAATGTCCAGTCTTTGGTTTTGGAGTGTCGTTGTCCGATGCTTACGAAGAAGGAAACATGTCACATACTTCTTTTCTTTAAGTGAAGTCTCTAAGTAGCGTCTGCCTTTCTCTTCTTGGCCTGGCTGTTGATTTTCTTTACCTTTGGATATTTGAAGTTGATAATTACTGTTTCCGAAATAAATAAACCCGTTTCCATTCACTGAAGATCTGTGCAGAAAATGCATCGTAAAGCATTTGATAGTTGTAAAAATTATTTGATGTAAGACTAGTATGAATGGTATATAAATTTTGTTTTCAACAAAGAGGTAGACGCAATAAAAATACAGTCTATCGTTAAGGCGTCTGTCCGTCTGCAATCAAAAGCTCTCCACCTCTGGGTCGTGGGTTCGGAGCCTATGTGGGGCAGACGCCATGTATTGGCTGAAGGCCTGTTGTTTTCCTTCGAAAACCTTAAACATCCTTAAATGGCCATAGCTGTTAACAGGACGTGGAACACTAACAAACCAAACAAACCCCTACGCCACCACGCACTAGGACCAGCACCTACGTTTTAAAACCCTTTTTGTTTTCTAATGACAAAAAAAAATGAATTTCCATTCTGTATTACCTATCAGGTTTTGAAAAGTGCTTGCCCTATTTTCCAATAAAAAGTGCATCTGAAGTGTGTTGATATGGTATTAATGAGTTTTACATTGCCGCCTGCTCTGAAATCTTAATCGTCGATTAGCGGTAATTAAGGTCAGATAATGAGGCAACATTCCGTTTTGATATTAATGAGATTTTTAAAAAGCAAATTGATCGAATCTAAGCATAACAATCAAGTATCTATTTCTGGTACCAATGTTCTTCCTTAATAAAGTGCTTGAAAATGTCAAGTGCATACAATACAGGAGCTAGTACGTATGTCTTTTAAAAGGATTACTTATAGTCCTCAAGTAGCGTTTAATTGTGTGTAAAATAATATGACGTTATTGTTCCACAACTGCCTATAGTTGCTCCTGTAGCCCGCGTTAATAGATATTTTTATTTATCATCGTGTAACGTATTACCAGGAGGAGAAATATACAAATGTACAAGCATTGAATTATACATGCTAAAAATAAAAATAAATGTTAAAGCACTTCTACGATTATAGGCCATGCTTGCAATTTATGTTCAGGTCGAAAGGTAAAAAGTTAATGCATTATGCAAATAAAACAGCTTCCTTTTGACCGAGTAAAATTAAATCTCATGGTTAATTTCCAGACCAAAAATTGGATTCATGACGCTATGTTTAAGAGTTGTATATATGGCATATATATATCACCCTAAACTCAACCCCTACCCCCACCAAGCTCCAAATTATATTTGCCTTCCCACTAATCAAGTTCCAATACGAAGACACGATAGGTTTGAAACAGACTGCATGCATTTTATTGATATAAGAAATGATGAAATACACAGAGAAAAATACTAAACGAAAATTATATTGAATACAAAATACCGTACCTGAACATAAAAGCCTTTTATCCTTTCTTGCTATGTAGGTGTTTGGCTAGGATAGCTAAAATATGTCTATCCGATGCATGTTATTCGAATAGATGGTATCTCCCACCTACCAAGGACTCGTACCCAATAGAATAGTTACAGTTACAACGATTAGACCACCCCAAACATTTCAACCATCGATATGGTAGATAACAATGTCCCACTACATTCATATATAAGTTATACATAGATATAAGTTTCAACAACCAGAAACAACAAGCCAACATTTCGTGTACAAAGAATTCATGCCGACGTGTCTATTGTGCATCGTCAGTGTTCTAAATATTACCACCGTGGTCTGTTAGTGACCTAAATATGTCAATTTTGTACCGTTATTGACCTAAATTTTTTCCACTGTGGATCTTAATTCACCTAGCTGTGTTCACTATGGCCTAGACTTGTACATAGTTGATCTTTAGTTATCTAGGTGTATCCTCTGTGGATCCTGAGTGACCTAGACAAGTCCAGCATGGACTGTAAGGGACGTAGATACATGCATATTCACCGTGGATCGTTTGTGAACTAGATATGATCACTGTGCATCGTTGATCACATTGATATGTCCTTTGTGGGTCGTTAGAAACCAAGCAGCTGATCGTTAATTTCCAAGGTGTGTCTTTCGTGGATCTTAAGTGACCTAGAGATTCCAATGTGGATCGTTGGTGACCTTAATATGTCAACTCTGGATCCTTAATGATCTAGATATTTCTACCATGATTTGTCAGTGACTAAGAAATGTACACTGTGGATCATTACTGACCTAAATATATCCACTGTAGATCTTTAGTGACTTATATATATCCACTGTCAATCGTTAGTGACCTATTTATGACAACTGTGTATAGTTGCTGACATTGAATTATCCCCAATGGATCGTAAGTGACAGAAATGACCCTTGTGAAATATCTACTATGATTTGTCAGTGACTAAGATATGTACACTGTGGATCGTTAGTGACCTAAATGTATCCAATGTAACTCTTTATTGACTTATATGTATCCACTGTCAATCGTTAGTAACCTATATATGACAACTGTGTATCGTTTCTGACATTGCTTGATCCCCAATGAATCGTTAGAAATGTGTCCCTTGTGGATCATTAGTCATCTATAATGTCAATGACATACCTGTGTCCACCGTGGATCGTTAGTTTCCTAGATATGTATTTTGAATATCGTTAGAGACCTAGGTATGCCACTGTGGATCGTTACTGACTTAGATATATCCTCCGTGGATTGATAGTTTTATGTTCCTGAACGCAGACATAACAACGGATTTAACAAAGAGTTCAGAAAACGCTTACACTTTCGGGCTATCCGGAGTATCCGATATCTCCGACTTTGTTGAGGTCCTTGTTGTTGGGTTGTTGGCGTTTTATATTGATTATTTCCTTTTGCACTCGCGACACAAAGTCCATTTTTATAGTTTTATTTAACTCCACCATATCATCGTTTTACATGGCTTACTAAAATATCAACGTGTTTGCAAATAATTCATGAACTTGCACGACTTATCCATCTTGTCGTATATACATTGGAGAGTTGTTAATACTTCAGCGCATATCTGGTATCTATATTGATTGATATCAATGCATATGAATAAATTGTCTACCGTCACAATATTAGTAAACATTTGTACAAAGATGTACCGTTATAACTGACCTTTAGATAAAAAAAATATAACATACCATTACTGATGCGTATCGATTGTATCAGGTTTTTGAACATGTTTTATGTTATGTTAGTGTCAGTTTCATTGTCAATAACAGGTCGATAGCATGTGGTTCAATATTATTAGAAAGATGCTTTGTTAACGTTATATATTATAGTGAACTGACAGAATGCAAAATAATAGAATGTAAGCAGATGTCTGTACGACAGAGTAAAGCTTTATATCTGGACATTGATTTTATAATTTTTAGCTGTCTTATTAGACGTTAATCGTTAAAACATCTAGGTAACGTTATGTGATATCGTTTTTGTTTCAGTTAAATCATTTTTATTTTAGGTGAACTGTGTTTATATATTTTAGCGGTAATATGTTGAATTGCACTTTATGTTCATGCGATAAAATAGTATATGACACTTATCTAATTAAGCATGGTATTAAACCAAAATTAAGTAATTTAATATACACAGCAAATTAAATTTTGTTATCTCACACAAAAAGGATTAACAAAATGAATGTGATTTAACTCTTTACAATACTACAATAAATTTGAATTACAATTTACAATAAAGTAATTGCTTTGATATGCAATGATTCCCAAGATACCATCCATGTGAACAGACGTTAGGTATAGGACTATCGTCCAACCATCTAATGGAGTAGGTTATCGATTTACTCTCCCAAGGCTTTACGAAACTGATCCTACATGCACCACTACTACTAGTGTGGCCGAGTGTGTGACAGTTATAGCAGGCATCGTGACATATGTCCAGGCCTATCATTACAGCTACTACTTCATTGAATTTAGAGGAATAATCATTGACATATCAAGAGATTTTCTTTCATGCGATACTCCAGTACAAATCCAGTGACGAAACATATGTCATCGTAATGTTTTGGGTATATCCCGTATATGTAACAAGGTTTTTTTTTCTGAATGGTGACACATTTTCTTTCGGAATATGTAACTTTTCAACGAGGAATTTATATGAAAGTGACATTGATGCGAGGAATTTGAGTTGCATTCTTCAACTAAAATAGAAAACAATGAATGAAGTTGATAATGAACTGTCAGGTAAAGAACTAATTGTTTCCATTATGGCATGATAAACACTTCTTATAGCAATGGTATCAGGACACAGACGCTAACACACTGGCGAAAATGGATTACAAACTTATACCGATCCTGGTAAGTTTGCACTGCTGATCTTTGCTATGAAGAATTGTATCTGTTTTGATAGTTATCAGCTCTTTAATGTTCTTGTGATTATTAATGATGTCTTTCTTATTTTTTGTTGTGTCTCCACTGATCCTAGTTCTTCGTATCAACTTTGAGTTGTCGTGCAGTCTTCGCATTGCATTGCAATCACTGCCATTAAAATGACTTATGAATCCATGATGATATTTTAATGCATTTTAGTGTTTATTAAGGGTCATACAGTGATACATTTTGTCATATAATCTTATCTATTTAATCATACATTTCATCATTATATCTTTTGTCATTAGTCTTAATATTTATACATTTTATGATAACTTTTAAAGTTGAAGAGAAAGTTCATACAAACAATGTTCGAGATCTCAAACCCGGGTTAATCTACTTTTAAAATGATAGCTAAAGAAAGACTAACAAATTCCTTTAGGTAGAATCACAATTAAAGACAAGATGTCTTATTGTTATAGCAATTGAAAAAGTATTCCCTCAAGAAGCATTCACATTCGCAAGGCATTCCAAACATATGATTTTTCCAAAGTAGCTGTGATTATGACACTCTAACTATTGAGTGATTGGAGTGATAATCATGACGCGTTTTTGATTGTGACGTCGTACTCATAACGATCATAGCAGGCAATACAGCTGTTTGCTTTTCAGCTTATTTAAAAATGCATTAAACTTTGAAAACATGTATAGCTTAAATATTAATTTATTGTAAAAACCACTAAAAAATAAAAATAAACATATTAAACTGCATTCTTTGCGGAGATATAATCTTATAACTGTAAATAGGGTTATAGACAGGTATTCAAAGCACGCAACGCGGTTTTCGATTCGACTGCATCTCTATTCAGAAATAGGACTACAACTTCTATCAGTTCAATGCTAAATAATTTTAATTGTTAGCATCCGTATTATTAATTGTAGTTTGTAAGTTCCTGTTAGTAATTGTAAGTGATTGCGTCTCTTTTAATAATTGTAATTTTTTATGTCCCTGATATTTAATTGTATATGTGTTCTATTCACTAATTATAATTTTGTATATCATACATTGTAAATATATTTGTGCCCGATTCATTAATTGAAATTGATTGGATTCTTTTAATCATTGGCTTATGATTTTTTGCGACCTTACCAAACATTGTAATTGTCGTTTACTGTACATGTTGCAGATATTATTATTCCGTAAGCTTTACAGCTGTTTGGTTAAGCATAGTAAATACGTACACTCATACAAATATATTTACATTTGCATGGCATTGTTACTATATAGCCTCTTTGAAAGCTGTGTCGTTGATGAGACTTTAATTACCATGCATCACGAGACACAATTCTTAGCGTATTAATACAGCACTGACCGGAACTACAATATCCAATATAAATAAACATGACGGCTGCTGAAATATCGCTGGGCATTGTGAGATTTGACAATGTCATTGTAAATTTATGTGCAAAATAAAAAATAAAATAAAAAACACTGTTTTACAACGAAAACAATCTACCGACTGTTGTCAGGTTCCCATACAATCAACAAATACATTCACGCCTGGATTCTTCAAAAAATGAGCAAAGAGAAAAGTTCGAATTAACTTCCAAAAATAACTCCCTCGGTGTTCACTGTATTTGTCCATGCGCGAAATTTGTGCCAGGGAAAAATCGAAACAATTTCAAATCTAACTTTCAGCTCAGAGTTCTATTGATAAATTTAAATTACCCTATAGACATATCATACGCAATTGTATTGATACTGAATTGTGGAATAAAATTGAAGTGTTTGTTAAAATTTCAAAGTACTACTTTGTTTGCCAATCAGCACGCGACAAATACGCTGTTCAAACTATTGAACGAAATTGTGTGGACTGTCGATAAGGCGGGCATTTTTAATTTTAAATATAAATTATAAGTTAAAAAAGAACATAAGAGGCAGAGAAACGTAAATAGAAGTATTGAACTGTTTTTGTATGGTAGCGCGCATCATGTTGTTTGCTTGCAAAGCTGTGTCATTCAAATAGATCATAAATACCATACAAAAACAGTTCAATGCTTAAGTATACTAGAAATACGCACAACACAACCTAATTTTATAATTTGTCACAATCACCATCATCATCATCTACATCATTCCCATTCATCATCATCACCATCATCATCATCAGCAGCAGCAGCAGCAGCAGCAGCAGCAACATCATCATCATCATCATCATCATTATTCCCACTCATCGTCAGCATCCTCATTGTCAACACAGCAACAACATCATCATTATCATCATATCATCATCAATCCCACTCATCATCAACAACAACAAACTTGTGTCAGCATCATCATTCAGTAACATTTCAATGCACATTATCAAGGTAATTTTAAGTTATTTTGCTATTATTATTATGCATACAATGGTTTGGAACATTCACGAATGATACATTACAGCACACTATACATGATCATAACTAGTTAAACAAGGATTACTATTTACTCTCAACTCCTTCTTTTGTTTGCTTCAATAACAATTTGCCTAAATTACGAAGAATTGTCAGTATCCTATTTATAAATGTAACTGTGTGTCATCTTCAGTAATTGCAACTGTATGCGTAATTATCATAACATGTAATTGTTGTGTCATGATCATCAATAGTTATTCTAAATGTTTGTTTCAAATCAAAAAAATCAGCAATTGTAATTGCCTCCTTATCACATGCTGTAATTCTAATTGTCTGCGTCCCTATCATTGATTATAATTGTGTGCGTCCTATCATTAATTGTAACTGTTTGGGTTCCTATTAGTAATTGAAAATGTTTGCATCCTTGCCATTAATAATTTGATAGTTTTGCATCAATTTAAATAATTATTGGTTTTTACGCCTTTATAATTTATTGTTATTGTATATATTTGCATCCAAATATATAATTGTAATTGTGCGAGTCCTAGCTTTATCTAATAAAATTGCGTCCTTATAACTTATTGTTATTGTACAATTTATTTACCCACATCACTTATTGTAATTGTATTTGTCCTATTATAAGTTTGAATTATGTGTGACCCTTTCAGCATTTGTAAATGCTTGCGTCATTACAATTTACTGCAATTGTTGCTTCCATATCACCTATTGTAACTGTATGTATCCTATCATTCGTTATCATTAATGGGCTCCCTGTTATTGATTGTTATTAACAATCTCCCCATCATTAAGTGTGATTGTAATATTTTGATTATTTGACTCCGTATCATTGATTCAAACAGTAACTTATTGACTCTCTAATATTAATTGAAATTAAATATTGAAATTATTTGACTCAATGTCATTAGTGGTAATTATAATTATTTGACTTCATTCCATAATTTGAGATTGTAATTATTTACTTCCCTATAATTGTTTATAATTATTTTTCTCCCCGTCAGAAGTTGTTATTGTAATTAGTAGACTCCCGATCATTTTTTTGTAATTGTAATTAGTTGAATCCCAGTCAGAAGTTGTCATTCTAATTGTTTTACTACTTCTCATTAATTTTAATTGTAACTATTTGAAAATCTGTCCTTAATTGGTCAGTTTTTCTCATTTTGACGTGAAGTAACAATGCTTTGCGACGTCATCTCCCCTTGCTACGTTTAGTTCATGGCAATGGTTTCCCCGATCGGAAATATGAATAAATATTAGCGTTAGAGTAATAGATGCTTTTTCTAGATATATATACAAAATCTGAACGTTGTGAGAAAAATGTCCCCAAACTCGTGATGGTTGATTATCATGTTGATCTTATTATCGTTAGTTAATTTACGAATTGTAAAAGACACTTGGTAAACGTCGTGACTTTAGACGATTTGAAAATTACCTAACTCGAGTTAAATAAACATGCTAGCCAATCATCACTCGTAAGGGAACCCCTATGTAATTAATTGACTCCCTATCATTAATTAATAGCAGCAGTAATATCTACGTCCTAGCCATATGCAGATGCAGTGGATTTCTTAAACATGTATTATGCATACCATATCCTTGATGTGTGATACACTGTAAGCGTTCAAAGAGATGGACACTTTCTATTCCCTACAATCTTGATAATAAGCCTGATTTGAAAATAAGACGGCTTTGAAAATAACCCTTGGCGCTCTTGCATCCAAGCATATCTCGAAAATAAGCCGTTTCAGACCTTGAAAATATGCATTTGTTTTAAGGTATAAGTGACATTTTTCTTATTGGAACTAATAGTTTGTACAGCAAACAACCACATCATATGATTTATATTGAATATTTTGATAAACGAAAACAACAAGTTCTATTAAAATTATTATCTGATTGTCTTCGTAAATAAGACAATCGTAAAAAAAGGCCGCCTTCAAATATTAGCCTGGGATTCCAAATTGAAAATGAAAGAAGTCGTGATTATTATCAAAAGTTTGGGTACTCATTGGTACAATTTTCTAGTTCATACAATACTCATATACATTAGCTCTAACACTCGACCTACACATTTCTAATCACCTACTTCCGCTGACATTAACCTTTCTGACACATGTGTGTTTTTGTTCGGAGATTATTTTCAAAATAATTTACCAGTAAATGGTTCTCTATCGTTGAATTTACAAAACAGTACTTAAGATTGACATTTGCTATAGAAGCTTAATTAAATAGCAATAGGCTGTTAACACATGAGCACACTGTTAATAATAGCTGTAATTATAAATACATTGTTGATGATAATGTATTATTATAAATACCTGAAGGCGTATTGTGTACATTTCTCTAAGCACGTGATAATATTGATACGGTTCCGTTTATGTGCAATCGATACACTTTATTGTGCTGTTCATTGATGAGGAGATAATCAAACAAACACGAGTAGTATCAGGTGAGTTAAAAGCAAAAATATCATAGGAAGTCTCGGGTGTAAAACTGTATTGTGCCTCGATTGTAAAACGCAAAAGACAATAACAACAAAGGCTCGTGTGCATGCAAACTTTCGGGAACTCATTTAAGTGTTGTTAATCAAATCAATGATCAAAAGAATCAATTGGGGTACCTTGTTAATGTATTTGGGGAAATACTTCTTCCTGATCTTAGTACCTGCTAAACTTGTTTGATTATGGATTAAGTACCCTGATTCATACCGAACAACACGCGTTTTATGACTGGCACAACAGACGCTGAATTGTTCTCTAAGTATCATTGGTTAACGATTAAGGTAGGAATCTCCAAGACGTTTATGATACAAATATAACCATAAAAATCAACATCATAGCCTGTAGATATCGTCCTAAAATGCTTCAGTAAATTATTTACTTAATACGTTTCAACTAGCGTACAACTTCACTAAATATGTTTCAGTTACCGTAAATCTGAAAAAAGCTTCAGTTAGTTTAAAACCTTACTAAGTACGATTCGAATTCACTAAATAAGCTTCTGTAAGCAATTAACTTTACTAAATATGCTTCATTTACCGTTTAACCAGAGTAAATATGATTCAGTTAGCCCAACATTTTACTTAACATATTCATTTAGCCAAAACCTTTACTAAATATATATTAAGTTTCCATACAACTTTACTTAATACGCTTCAATTAACCTTAAACGGTACTAAATACATCTTCGGCTATTTTCATTAAATACTAACTTTACTCAATACAGCCATTTAAAACTCAAAAGTAGTACTTAATTTTACATTTAACGAAACTGCATGTCTAAAGTGTTTCAAAACGTAGAAGAAAGTACAGTGAAAACGGAAAGTGGCCTACAAAACCCTTCGAAACATTTCAAATTTACAACATTGATTGCAACAGAAAGTATATCCCCGCTATGGCAAACCTCGGCGGCTGATATCTCTAGAACAAGTATTAACCCACGGAGTTAGGAAACAACTGTTTAAAATTCAGTTCGCCGATGCAGAAAACTAAATATATCAAACCATTTGCTTCATCATAATGGCCGTTTCGTTAAAAAAGGACTCATCAATGACACTTTAGGTCAACAGAATGAAAATGCGAGTCTAAAGTGTTCTGAAACACACGTTAAAGTACGGAGAAAAGGACAGGTGCAAATAAAAACCCACAAAGCAGCATGCATTTACAACTTAGGGCTTTAAAAGATAATGTATTCGTAAACTGGTATCCATTTAAAACCTTGTTACAATAAATTCAAGCTGTAAGGTAACAGCCAACCTCGGGGACTAATAGTCCACCAACATAGTTGACCACCTTGTAACATGAAATAAGCACTAGAAATAGGTATTAAGCAAGGATCAGCTTTTTAACAAATTTAATTTGTGCAGAAAGCCAATGAAGTTGATAGGATACTCTGTTTGTCCATTTAGGACGCCTCAATGGTGAATGAAAATTTTTGTTTAAATAGGCTTCAATAAACTTATATTTTTATAGTTCAGAAAGCAACTATGTTACAACAGAAACGAATCTTCCATTACGAACATTCTCAGGATTTCTGCAATATCATAGATTACCCCATCCCCCAATAAGCAGCTGCTGCTAAAGCAATATTTCATAAAATCACATGGATTTTGTTTTTGTTTTCATTTTTACGCGTACACTTCATATATTAAGTTGCAAATGCCAATTTTTTTATTTTATCTACCATTTCGGTATCAAAGTATTTCTCCAAGAAAAACACATTAGCTTAAATAAAAAAAAATCATTGCCATGAGTTACAACATTAATTACAAGTCGAAAGGATAAGAAGACAAGACAATCACATATATGTATTCCTCTTTTATATTCATAGCAACTGCAAGTCGTTACCAACAGATACTTTTTCTTTTTTGCCTGTATGTATAAATATACATTCACTGAGATTATCATTAAGAGTATTGATATTCGCTGAGTATTTATTTTTGCGCTATCTTTGTTGACCGCGAATATAGCGTTAAATTTTAAATCCAATGTGATTGTTACCATCTATACAGGACATAAATCGGCGGTGTTCAATGAAAAAAGGATAATTAAAGTAATGTAGAATGCAATATAAATGTATTTATGACACATTTTTTCTAATTATTTTACAGTATTCAATAAGAGTGGATTTTAACGTTAACTGAGAACTAATTGTTTCTTTAACAAAAGATCGATGTTTACGCTATGTTTGTACGTACCCAAATGATGACATCAATCTTGAAAACGCTTTCAAATTATGTAGACCTCATTATTAATACCTATTATCCCTAAAATCCAATAATGGTACGAAATTTATCCTTGTCGGTGTCAATCATGAAATACATTGTAATGCATGGAGGGAAATAGGCAAACATACACCCGAATATCACAGGATACGTTATAGTAACGAACGCACACAAATAATGGCTTATAATTCAAAACTATGGTCAGGTTGTGTAATTGTATATTAATTGATATTTCATACCTTTTTGTTCCAGGACAAGTCGTCGATATTAATGATTAGACTTGTAGTCATTGCAGAGTCTATTTTTTACTTTGATTTTCTTAATTTTTACTTAATTTGTATGTAGCCTTCTTAAATACAATGTTATTAAAGCTATCTATTGTTTGTTATCCATAACATTATTCAATGGTAAGAATCAAACATTAACAAGGAAACTTACCCATCCATAAAACTATAAAACTAATCCAATTAAAAAAAAACAAGAAAACCGTCAGACATCAAGAACTAGGGGGGGGGGGGGGGGGGAGCAAGAAACCGTCACATTAGTAGAATCAAAGATTCATAGAAGAATCCTGAACACGGAAAATGTCACATCCACAGGATTATAGAAAAATTAAAAGGAAATATAAACAAAAAATAAAAAACAAGCCATACAGGAATGCATCTACCAATACGGTTATACAAAAAACAACTAGCAAAAACGTTAGCAAGTCTGCCATTGTTAATACAATGGTTCGATAATAAAATGTCCATGAAGAGATATTCTATTGGATCGACATCGAAAGAGAGGATACTAAATGGGCGTTAACATATATCAATCGTTCATTTTTAATTTTCTGCTATTTAAATACGTGGCAGTTTTAACAACGGATACTTGCCTTTATTTTATAATGAAACAAATGTAGTTAAAATAAAAATATAATATAAAAATGTTAAGGTTGAAATATCTTAATCACGCGCTTCCTAACTTCGTATCTGTGTTGATTATTTTACTTAACATAGTGATTGAAAATCAGTCCGGAAGATTAGGTGGATTTTATTCTGGTAAGGTTTACATCAAATGTTATTTTAAGAATAAATTACCTGTTGTAGTTAAAAGTTGTAGCAATGCACTATTGTTACTATGGTAGGATATCTACGCATGCGCACCGAGAAAGATAGCCCTAATTAACCAACATGATGTGTATAACAGAAACTGATATATACATTAAAGTTGGGGTTTTTTCACTTTTTTATGAGGCCAAAAATGACCCATAACGCCCCGAGCCCTATCTGATGCTATAATAGGATTGTTATGGTATCAGTTAAACGATTATCAGCATCAGCAACACAATTCTATTTAATGTAAAAGTGGAACGTTTCGCGTTGTCACCGTTTAAACCTATAACATTTATAAATGAGTATTTGCGTGCGTATATTTTGGCACGAATTTACGCAACGCGAAAAATGCAAACATTTTAAAACCACGAATCTTTCCACTATAACAGTTAAATATTATATTTCCCTATGCTAATGGGCTATTGGCAAATGCGACCAAGCACTAAGGAAGACAGTTCGCTGATATTACAGAGGATATACCATGTCAACACAATGCGTACAAAGCCCAATCAAAAGAGACAGCTCTATCTATTGAGATAGGCATCCTTGGTATAAGGTCTGCCATTAAAAAACGTGACAGATTATTTCATAGATAATTAAATACAGGCGACATATTACGATGTAGACAGGTTTCACTGTAGTTTAATAAAGGTTACAACTGCACACAGTGAGTCTCTGGAGACATTCTGATTAATCTCTAAGGTAGAATATAATGTGGAGTGCAACATACCAGGCGAATTAAAAACGCAAAACTACTATTCCTTAAACATCAAAACAAATATCTGAATCCTTTCCACATTCACATCTAAGTATAGGTATATAATATGTCCATAAATATAAGCACCGTACATGTATGATTGTTATGTGTGATACATTTCTTATGTTCTACATTTATTTAGGTGTTTGGCCTCATTAGTCGTTCCAAGGCATGGCATCAGTTCTCTAATACTCAGTATCATTGCTGGCCTCTCTCAGCTAACGAAGCTAATCCACAGCCTTATGACCCATGTCCAGGTAAGTCTGCCTTCTCTGTACTAACGACGATAATCCACAACCATATTACTCATGTCCGGATAAGTCTGCTTTCCCTGTACTAACAACGTCAATTCACAGGCGTATGACCCGTGTCCGTGTAACTTTGACTTCCCTGATCTAACGATGCCAATTCATACGTTTATGAACCGTGTCCAGGAACGTCAGTCTTCCTTTCCTAACGACGCCAATTAACCAAGGCGCGCGTGCATAACGAACTATATATGTTATACATATAAATGTTCGAAGGGCTATTCAGATTAATCAAATTACGATTTAAAAACTATTTAAAGAAAGACAATAGTGTTGTTAACAGTGTTTTTCCAAATTTTCTGATATATCGGTGAAGATTCATATTCTTTAATATCCTATCCTATAACAATTTTGCGGATGTTAATATAAGAATCAACCTTCCATTTGACAGCGTATATGGTAGTATGAACACAGTTGGCAACGAGCATATATTCTATGGTGTACGTAAGCGCTCAATAAGGAATATGTGCGTTCATTCAACCGTATTTGCCGTCAATTTTTTGAAGGTCAATGCTAATATATAACATACATATCGAACAAAATATGTTATTCAAGTAAATTTGCACATATCGCACTTGTATAATACACGTAGTAGTGTTCCACCTTCATACTTTCATGACACATATATCTCTCACACACACACTTGTTTTAAGATGTATAAGCGATATTCGCGAACATGATGATCACTTACTGCCATTTTTGAGGTACACCTGTTAAACAAAACAAATTGAATTATGTGTATGTATATATGTATTGTATGTGTGTTACATCACATCTTTACCTGCGTCCAGTAAACAGTTAACTCCGTTTGATGTATCGATCCGTCAGTGTACGTTGGTATGGTAACTGGATTTTGTGAAAGGTAACTTTAATTACGTTCACGCTCCATGTAACTTCTGCATAATACATAAGTGATGCAATATAGAATTACGTTAACACCCGTTGTTGCTTTAATTACAATATACTATATGTAAATTAGACAGGAATGAACTATGTATATTGAACAAAAAAGATATCAAACTAGCATAGTGTTAACATACAATGGCATCGACAAGCCGATGAAGGAGTGAGGTTCAGAGTAAATCGATCAGGGTATAACGGTTGACGTCACCGTCACTTATAACACAACGCTTCCCATAGTCCCAAGATATCAAAATATACTTTCTACTGCAAGTACAATTTCAAAACTTGATGGGGACTGCCGAGGAATGAATATATCAGTAAACATACGTATCAAGAACTTCAAATTGACATCCATTCTGAACAGGCTGTACATCTCATGTATAATAAATGTTGAAACATTTTAAATGCCAGAGAAAGCAAATAGCCAAGATGACAGCTGATACTCTTACAAAAACCTGGGGAGACACAATTGCAACAGAAATAAATTTCTATAACCCAATTAAAAAATCATAGGAGATATCAGGACAGAAGCAATGGCATCTTGCACCTCCACGAGAAACTTTTAGAGACACAAAGGAATTAATATCTTACTACCCCAACATAAAGACGGGGAAGGCAATAGAAACGGAAACTAAATCCCACAAATACGAATGGAGACATTAAGGCCTATAACAATAAAATAAACAGGAAAAAAGCTTGAGGAGATACCATGATAAAATCAATTGATATCCTAAACTCCACGAATACCCGGAGGAGACACCATGATAAAATAAATTGATATCCTTAACCCCACGAATACCCGGAGGAGACACCATGATAAAATCAATTGATATCCTAAACCCCACGAATACCCGGAGGAGACACCATGATAAAATAAATTGATATCCTTAACCCCACGAATACCCGGAGGAGACACCATAACAAAATAAATTGATATCCTAAACCCCACGAATACCCGGAGGAGACACTATGATAAAATCAATTGATATCTCAACCCCACGAATACCCGGAGGAGACACCATAACAAAATAAATTGATATCCTAAACCCCACGAATACCCGGAGGAGATACCATAACAAAATAAATTACTCTCTGAACACGAAACTGGAAGCAAAATTTATTACTTTGGAGGAATGTACACAATTATTCAACAAAGTTTCTGGCATGGAATGTTCACAGGTGGGTATATATGGATTATGAGAATTCTTTTTACACAACCAATGTTCTATGTGACGTTTCGATGACTAGTACGATATGTACACTGTCACCTTTATCATGTCTGAAACAGTTCTATTATAACATTATTTCTCTTCATGTTAATAAACTTCATTGCACCTAGATTCACTAGTCATAGCACGTTACGTTACATAATCGTTACGACATTACTGTGGTAAGCTTAAGGATACTACGCGTGAGTAAACAGGCTGCAAGGCTAATTCAAAGAATAAAAATATCAATTATATTCATATTACAAAGTTAATCAAATTCACAGCGGTAACCTTTCAATGAAAAGTGAATTCAATCAATCTTGAAGTATATGCTCAGTTGTGTGATAAAACGGGTGTTTACACCCATAAAGAAGGTCACTAATGACAGATCACACAGATGTTGTCATGTAGTGAACAGATAACGTATTTAGATCAAGTTTTATATTTAAACATTTTCTTCAGGTTGGTATATATGGATTATGAGAATTCTTTTTACACAACCAATGTTCTATGTGACGTTTCGATGACTAGTACGATATGTACACTATCACCTTTATCAGACAAATGACCAATGAAGCGTATGCACACACAGGTGTAAAATGTGTTCGATTTGTCCATAAAATCGATGTCGATTTCGGCTACGCTGGAAACGTATGTACAATAGTTGTTATATATGTACCGAAATGACTCAATTCAGCTACGATTTGTTAACAGTTGGTCATAGATGTGCGGGAGTATTTGAGCCCCCTCGTCTCGATTAAGAACTGGCCCACTTCGGCGTATCCAGATGGCTTCCTTTATTTGCCGCTTGAACAGATTGCTCTCTCTGTCCAAAACTTTGGAGTTATCCCAGTCATTCACATGTTTTTTCTGTGTGGCATGGTCTGTGATTGCCGATTTATTTATCTGGGACTCCTTTTTCTTGCATCCGATTTTGTATACGCATTCATATGTTTCATCCTTAGGGTGTACTAGGATATTGCGAAGCGTCTTGTGGGGCTTCATGGCTGTTGCTATGCCATGACCGCGATATATCCTCTGGATAGTTTCGGGTATACCCTTTATATATGGGATAACCACTTGACCTTTGGTTTTGTTCTTATCCTTGATTGGCCTATTCTTGTTCTTCTCCAGACTTTGACACTGGTTTTTTTCCCGTTTTAGGGCCCATTCCGGATATGCACATGTTCTCATTGCCCTAGCGATGCCGAAATCGACATCGATGTTATGGACAACTCGTACACCTGTGTGTGCATACGCTTCATCGGTCATTTGTCTGATGAAGGTGACAGTGTACATATTGTACTAGTCATCGAAGCGTCACATAGAAAATTGTATTGGTTGTGTAAAAAGAACTTCTCATAATCAAGTTGTACAGTTTTATAGTCAGTTATTGATATTTCACAGATCTTCGGGTCCATTTTATTTAATCACTTAACGATTGTACATGTTTATAGATACTGAGAATATTCTTACCTTTGCACTTATTTGTCACAGATATTTAAACAAATTAATTCAAGTCAAATTTGATTTGCATTAAGTGGCAATTTTAAAACATGAAAAAATGTCGTACTTTTGTTTTCCACGATTTAAAGTGAAATTTTGACGGGTACCACTTATGGTGCAGGAAACAACAGCAACGGCACCTTATCCCTTAATTAATCGGATCATTTAGCTATTCCTACAGTCGTTCAGTACTCTTTGCAAATTTGATTCATCCATCTATATATTTGATAAATTTTCAAAATTCATTTTTTTCTTCCAATTTGTCAAATGAAATTGATTAACAGGTGTAGACTTGAGTTGGATTGAACCTCCCCCCGATACTGTGACGGAACAGGAGGCTTTTAACACCACAACACACCTCATCCTACTGCCAAGCTTTTACTCATGGGCCGTGGGACTCAGCATGTTCAGCAACGCAAACGGAAGTGTGGGCATTAGGTTCGTGTTTCCAATGTTTGCATAACACGATACGCATGCTTTCCTTTCAGCGAACTACTTCAATTATACTTAATTCCCTCTGTGCCCAAGCAAAGTGACCAGTTGATAGAATATTTAATTGAAGTTTTAACGTATTCTACATTATATTTTCATGGTCTTGATTAGTTTCTATGTTAAATTGTCATAGTCTTTATCAGTTTCTACATTATGTTTACATAGTCTTTATCAGTTTCTACATTATGTTTACATAGTCTTTATCAGTTTCTACATTATGTTTACATAGTCTTTATCAGTTTCTACATTATGTTTACATACTCTTTGTCAGTTTTTTAATTATGTTTACATACTCTTTGTCAGTTTCTACATTATGTTTACATAGCCTTTATCAGTTTCTACATTATGTTTACATACCCTTTATCAGTTTCTACATTATGTTTACATAGCCTTTATCAGTTTCTACATTATGTTTACATACTCTTTATCAGTTTCTACATTATGTATACATAGCCTTTATCAGTTTCTACATTATAATTACATAGCCGTAATCAGTTTCTACATTATGTTTAAATAGTCTTTATCAGTTTCTATATTATGTTTACATACTCTTTATCAGTTTCTACATTATGTTTACATTGTCTTTATCAGTTTCTACATTATGTTTATATAGTCTTTATCAGTTTCTACATTATGTTTACATAGTCTTTATCAGTTTCTACATTATGTTTACATAGTCTTTATCAGTTTCTACATTATGTTTACATAGTCTTTATCAGTTTCTACATTATGTTTACATAGTCTTTATCAGTTTCTACATTATGTTTACATAGTCTTTATCAGTTTCTACATTATGTTTACATAGTCTTTATCAGTTTCTACATTATGTTTACATAGTCTTTATCAGTTTCTACATTATGTTTACATAGTCTTTATCAGTTTCTACATTATGTTTACATAGTCTTTATCAGTTTCTACATTATGTTTACATAGTCTTTATCAGTTTCTACATTATGTTTACATAGTCTTTATCAGTTTCTACATTATGTTTACATAGTCTTTATCAGTTTCTACATTATGTTTACATAGTCTTTATCAGTTTCTACATTATGTTTACATAGTCTTTATCAGTTTCTACATTATGTTTACATAGTCTTTATCAGTTTCTACATTATGTTTACATAGTCTTTATCAGTTTCTACATTATGTTTACATAGTCTTTATCAGTTTCTACATTATGTTTACATAGTCTTTATCAGTTTCTACATTATGTTTACATAGTCTTTATCAGTTTCTACATTATGTTTACATAGTCTTTATCAGTTTCTACATTATGTTTACATAGTCTTTATCAGTTTCTACATTATGTTTACATAGTCTTTATCAGTTTCTACATTATGTTTACATAGTCTTTATCAGTTTCTACATTATGTTTACATAGTCTTTATCAGTTTCTACATTATGTTTACATAGTCTTTATCAGTTTCTACATTATGTTTACATAGTCTTTATCAGTTTCTACATTATGTTTACATAGTCTTTATCAGTTTCTACATTATGTTTACATAGTCTTTATCAGTTTCTACATTATGTTTACATAGTCTTTATCAGTTTCTACATTATGTTTACATAGTCTTTATCAGTTTCTACATTATGTTTACATAGTCTTTATCAGTTTCTACATTATGTTTACATAGTCTTTATCAGTTTCTACATTATGTTTACATAGTCTTTATCAGTTTCTACATTATGTTTACATAGTCTTTATCAGTTTCTACATTATGTTTACATAGTCTTTATCAGTTTCTACATTATGTTTACATAGTCTTTATCAGTTTCTACATTATGTTTACATAGTCTTTATCAGTTTCTACATTATGTTTACATAGTCTTTATCAGTTTCTACATTATGTTTACATAGTCTTTATCAGTTTCTACATTATGTTTACATAGTCTTTATCAGTTTCTACATTATGTTTACATAGTCTTTATCAGTTTCTACATTATGTTTACATAGTCTTTATCAGTTTCTACATTATGTTTACATAGTCTTTATCAGTTTCTACATTATGTTTACATAGTCTTTATCAGTTTCTACATTATGTTTACATAGTCTTTATCAGTTTCTACATTATGTTTACATAGTCTTTATCAGTTTCTACATTATGTTTACATAGTCTTTATCAGTTTCTACATTATGTTTACATAGTCTTTATCAGTTTCTACATTATGTTTACATAGTCTTTATCAGTTTCTACATTATGTTTACATAGTCTTTATCAGTTTCTACATTATGTTTACATAGTCTTTATCAGTTTCTACATTATGTTTACATAGTCTTTATCAGTTTCTACATTATGTTTACATAGTCTTTATCAGTTTCTACATTATGTTTACATAGTCTTTATCAGTTTCTACATTATGTTTACATAGTCTTTATCAGTTTCTACATTATGTTTACATACTCTTTATCAGTTTCTACTTTATGTTTACATAGCCTTGATCAGGTTCTACATTATGTTTACATACTCTATCAGTTTCTACATTATGTGTACATAGCCTTTATCAGTTTCTACATTATAATTACATAGCCGTTATCAGTTTCTATATTATGTTTAAATAGTCTTTAGCAGTTTCTACATTATGTTTACATAGTCTTTATCAGTTTCTACATTATGTTTACATTGTCTTTATCAGTTTCTACATTATGTTTACATAGTCTTTATCAGTTTCTACATTATGTTTACACAGTCTTTATCAGTATCTACATTATGTTTACATAGTCTTTATCAGTTTCTACATAATGTTTACACAGTCTTAATCAGTTTCTTAATTATATTTACATAGTCTTTATCAGTTTCTACATAATGTAGAAACTGATAAAGGCTATGTAAACATAAAGTAGAAACTGATAAAGGCTTTGTTAACATAATGTAGAAAATGCTAAAGACTATTTAAACATAATATAGAAACTGATAAATGCTATGTAAACATAAAGTAGAAACTGATAAAGACTATGTTTCCATAGTCGTTATCAGCTTCTACATTATGTTTAAATTCCCTTTATCAGGTTCTTCTTTATGTTTACATAGCCTTTATCAGTTTCTACATTTTGTTTACATACCCTTAATCAGTTTCTACATTATCTTTACATAGTCTTTATCAGTTTTTACATTATGTTTACATAGCCTTTATCAGTTTCTACGTTATGTTTAAATAGTCTTTATCAGTTTCAACATTATGTTCTTACATACCCTTAATCAGTTTCTACATTATCTTTACATAGTCTTTATCAGTTTTTACATTATGTTTACATAGGCTTTATCAGTTTCTACATTATGTTTACATACTCTTTATTAGTTTCTTAATTATGATTACATACTCTTTATCAGTTTCTACATTATATTTACATAGTCTTTTTCAGTTTCTACGTTATGTTTAAATAGTCTTTATCAGTTTCAACATTATGTTTACATACCCTTTATCAGTTTCTACATTATGTTTACATATTCTTTATCAGTTTTTACATTATGTTTACATATTCTTTATGAGATTTTACATTATGTTTACATATTCTTTATGAGATTTTACATTATGTTTACATAGAATTTATCAGTTTCTATATTATGTTTAAATAGTCTTTATCAGATTCTACATTATGTTTACATATTCTTTATGAGAATTTACATTATGTTTACGTAGCCTTTATCAGGTTCTACATTATGTTTACGTAGCCTTTATCATTTTCAACATTATGTTTACTTACCCTTTATCAGTTTCTACGTTATGTTTAAATAGTCTTTATCAGATTCTACATTATGTTTACGTAGCATTTATCAGTTTCTACATTACGTTTACATAGTCTTTATCAGTGTCTACATTATATTTACATACTCTCTGTCAGTTTCTACATTATGTTTACGTAGCATTTATCAGTTTCAACATTATGTTTCCATACCCTTTATCAGTTTCTTAATTATGTTTACATAGTCTTTATTAGTTTCTTAATTATGTTTACATAGTCTGTATCAGTTTCTACATTATCTTTACATAGTCTTTATCAGGTCTTTATCAGTTTCTACATAATGTTTACACAGTCTTAATCAGTTTCTTAATTATGTTTACATAGTCTGTATCAGTTTCTACATTATAATTACATAGCCGTTATCAGTTTCTATATTATGTTTAAATAGTCTTTATCAGATTCTACATTATGTTTACGTAGCCTTTATCAGGTTCTACATTATGTTTACGTTCTCTTTATCAGTTTCTACAATATGTTTACATAGTCTTTTTCAGTTTCTACGATATGTTTAAATAGTCTTTATCAGATTCTACATTATGTTTACATATTCTTTATCAGTTTCAACATTATGTTTACTTACCCTTTATCAGTTTCTTAATTATATTTACATAGTCTTTTTCAGTTTCTACGATATGTTTAAATAGTCTTTATCAGTTTCAACATTATGTTTTCATAGCCTTTATCAGTTTCTATATTATGTTTACAAAGCCTTTATCAGTTTCTACATTATCTTTACATAGTCTTTATCAGTGTCTACATTATATTTACACAGTCTTTATCAGTATCTACATTATGTTTACATATCCTTTATCAGTTTCTACGTTATGTTTAAATAGTCTTTATCAGTTTTTACATTATGTTTACATACCCTTTATCAGTTTCTCTTTTATGTTTACCTAGCCTTTATCAGCTTCTACATTATGTTTACGTAGCCTTTATCATTTTCAACATTATGTTTACATAGAATTTATCAGTTTCTATATTATGTTTACAAAGCCTTTATCAGTTTCTATATTATGTTTACAAAGCCTTTATCAGTTTCTCTTTTATGTTTACCTAGCCTTTATCAGCTTCTACATTATGTTTACGAACTCTTTATCAGTTTCTACATTATGTTTACATAGCCTTTATCAGTTTCTCTATTATGTTTACCTAGCCTTTATCAGTTTCTACATTATGTTTACATATTCTTTATGAGATTTTACATTATGTTTACGTACTCTTTATCAGTTTCTACATGATGTTTACATAGTTTTTATTAGTTTCTACATTATGTTTCCATAGTTTTTATTAGTTTCTACATTATATTTACATACTCTTTATCAGTTTCTCAATTATATTTACATACTCTTTGTCAGTTTCTACATTATGTTTACATAGTCTTCATCAGTTTCTACATTAGGTTTACATAGTCTTTATCAGTTTCAACATGATGTTTACTTAGTCTTTATCAGTTTCCACATTATGTTTACATACTCTTTTTCAGTTTCTACATTATGTTTACGTAGCCTTTATCAGTTTCTACATTATGTTTACATAGTCTTTATCAGTTTCTACATTATATTTACATAGTCTTTTTCAGTTTCTACATTATGTTTACGTGGCCTTTATCAGTTTCTACATTATGTTTACGTTCTCTTTATCAGTTTCTACATTATGTTTACGTTCTCTTTATCAGTTTCTACATTATGTTTACGTTCTCTTTATCAGTTTCTACATTATGTTTGCATACTCTTTATCAGTCTCTACATTATGTTTACATAGTCTTTATCAGTTTCTGCAATATGTTTACATAGTCTTTATCAGTTTCTTCTTTATGTTTACGTAGCCTTTCTCAGTTTCTACATTATGTTTACGTAGCCTTTATCAGTTTCTACATTATGTTTACATAGTCTTTATCAGTTTCTTCTTTATGTTTACGTAGCCTTTATCAGTTTCTACATTATGTTTACGTACTCTTTATCAGTTTCTACATTATGTTTACATAGCCTTTATCAGTTTCTACATTATGTTTACATAGTCTTTATCAGTTTCTACATTATGTTTACACAGTCTTTATCAGTTTCTACATGATGTTTACATAGTTTTTATTAATTTCTACATTATGTTTCCATAGTTTTTATTAGTTTCTACATTATATTTACATACTCTTTATCAGTTTCTTAATTATATTTACATACTCTTTGTCAGTTTCTACATTATGTTTACATACTCTTTATCAGTTTCTACATTATGTTTACATAGTCTTTATCAGTTTCAACATGATGTTTACTTAGTCTTTATCAGTTTCCACATTATGTTTACATACTCTTTATCAGTTTCTACATTATGTTTACATACTCTTTATAAAGTTATCTTTTCTCATCTCTATACATTTTAGCAGATTATTCATATTATTTCCATAGTCTTTATAAGATTCTGCATTATTTTTACATAGTCTTTATCAGTTTCTACATTTTGCTGCCGAAGTCTTCCACATTTCCAAATTCTTCCCGTAGTTTTTATCATGTTCAAAATTGATTTCCAGCCTTTTTCACGTTCTTTATTTTATTTATTTTCATCAATTTCTACATTTCAATGCTATATATTTTATCAGATTTTATGTTTTTCATATAGTCCATATCGAATTCTACACCTTGATATATGAAAACAAAAATACAGCTTCATTCATATTCATTTGATTTATGTAATTGTATAGAAATGATATTGTGATAGGGACTGGGTTTACAGTTTGTCCTACTCTTGACGTTGCCTTGTGTGTTTCCTTCCGCCAGTGACGCCAGTCTTGCCCAGCAGTGGTGCGAGACGACAACGTGTCCCACTGTGTCCCTAGCAGCACAAGACAACTGTTGTGTCCACCACATGAACATCCACAGTTGTCCCATGGACGGGAATCTGGACGTGTGTGGACCTTGGATCCCGCCAAACGGCCAGGTCTTCACGCACTCCAATGTCCTGGTCGGGTCATCCGCCCAGGAAAACTGGACTAACTACGTGGGGGGTCTTTACGTCACTGGGCAGACTTCTATCATTGCCCACTTCAAAGTAGCCGGCATCAGTATAGCGCTCATCAAGATGATGAAAGTTCTACCCAAAGCAGGTCTTGTAAATTATTCTCCGTAACACTAGTTGTCAATGTCTCTGCAAAATGCTGTTTCGCCTATGCAACAAAGTAAATATAAGGGTTTTTCCTAATCTCTGTGTTGTTTCAAACCGGCATTACAATTATAAGAACAAATACTGTGCCAAATTTTGCGCTCTACGACATTATGTCATCTTTGTTTTATTATTCGATGTAGCATAAAAATGTCCGTCATCAGAGAAACAGTAAGCGTTAGTTTATAGTTATATACAATTATAAATATGTTATACAAATTGTGCATTTTTCTACAATGTCCAATCGTTATTGACACTGTTTGGAAAATATCTTTGTAGTTAAAGACAACATCAAATAAAAAGAAGACAAAATAAATAAATCCATGTTTTTTTCCTCAGTGTGCGGTGATGATAAGTGTGAGCCGGAAGAGACGTGTACCACGTGTGTAGCCGACTGTGGGTCGTGTCCATTGGAGCCGTGGGCATTGACCTTGATAATCCTCGGGTTATTGACAGTTATCTTGGTGTTTGTAGGCCTCCTGCTTGTGAGTCTATTTCAACTGCATTGTCTTCTTCTTGAGTTTGCAAAGGTTGCACACATCGAAGCATGACCAATACAGTACATATCATAAATCGCAACCGACTTAAAAGTACGGTGTTATACCGTTTTTAAATTCTGAGCAACATAGGAGCTCCAAGCAATGTGGCTGTTAAGAATTCGAGACTGAAATAATATTTCAAAATAGTACCATTTGTAACTTCTGAGCAACAAAGGAGCTCCATGCAATGTGACTGTAGAGATTTCGAGACTGATATTAATACTGTTTGTAAATAGTGTACCATATAATGTGGCTGTAGAGATTTCGAGACTGATATTAATACTGTTTGTAAATTCCGAGCAACATTAGTGTACCATGTAATGTGGATGTAGAGATTTCGAGACTGATATTAATACTGTTTGTAAATTCCGAGCAACATTGGTGTATCATGTGATGTGGCTGTAGAGATTTCGAGACTGATATTACTACTGTTTGTAAATAGTGTACCATATAATGTGGCTGTAGAGATTTCGAGACTGATATTACTACTGTTTGTAAAT